ACCGTAACTTTCATGATATAATTTCTCAGTCATAATCGGTTGTTTCCGTGAACGTGAATGTTGTGTGACGGCAAATGCTGCGGCTGCAAGGTATTGTGGGGCAGCATTTCCTCCTTTCCTTTCGTAAAGCAAGGTCCAGTGGTTCCTAAGCTAAAGGAGGTTATAAAGGAAGTTTCAAAGCTCCTTTCCTATCATTCTAGAGAATTCGAACGGCTCTTATCATGGCTGCCACTGAGGTACTTCCGGGTCATTTCACTCCGTTAGGAAGGTTCCTAAGCTAAACTGACAATTCGACTGCAGCCCTGTTAGAGCTTGCAACACACTCTCACTCCCTAAGCGTCCAGGAGTGACGCTTGGTCAGGGTCCCGTGGCGTCCAGTTGTGACGCGCCGAGGCTCCTTCAGCTTCATAAACGGACGCAAAGAGCTTTCAACTGATTGCAATGTATTCCCATCGGCGTCGGTATTTGACGCTTAGGGTAGCACGGCATTCGTTTGTGTCGGAGGCTGTTAAAGGCAATGTGAGCGTCCATTCCCATTGGATAACGGAGAATTGTACACCCGGAAGTAAGTATTCCCCTTACTGTCGATTGATTTGACAGTGATATCTCCACTACTCATCAACTCAAAAACATCAGATTATCCTTGTTAATTAAATTACATTGATAGGTTTTAGTGTGTGTACAATGCTTTTGTCACGTTTTCCCCTTCAATTCTGAGAAACAAGTCGTTTTCTATGAGTTTTGGATGGCCGAAGACATGACATTACCCACAATCCTCTGTAGCAACCATAGACTGTATAAAACAATTACATAATACATTATTCCGAGTGTGCTTGCTTTTCTTTTTGAAAGTCATCACATAACGGCATTGTAATACACGTTTCGGCTGCATTAAATATGACATATCTGCCGTAGTTAACTCTGCCCTGATGACAAGACTTCTAGACAAACAGGAACTGCCGCCAAAACTGAAAACTTGACGTGGATCTTAAATATATCAGCAATTAAACAACATCTTACATTTCTTTTCACACAATACGTCTCCTTGCAGTATCAACACTAATTCGGCTGACTTTTATATTTGATCCAATTGGTAGATAGGCTGTATTTACGCCATAACGGTGCACAGCTGATAGAAAGGGACACCTACTGGTTAAAGCACGTTATTGCATTTTATAATTTTATTATTAGATATTAACAGGAGGATGTGCAAAACAGACAAACTAATAAGGCTTTATTTAAACATTAAAGAATGCTTTAGGTTAAGGTCTTGTTTTGAATAAGAAAAAAGCTTTGGGGGTATAGAAGATGAATATGGAGGGATGAAACCGTCTTTGACATTGGTCACACATGCAGAGCACACAGCACACACAGTGACATTTGTATCTACAGATAAATATTAAGCCTGACAAAGTACTTAACGTCTAATATATTGCTTTCCTGCCATGTTAACTATGTTTAAGCACTTATTTTAACTGATATTATACATATGTATTATACTCTTATAAGATGTATGTAGATAGTATAAGAAATGTGCAGAATATGACAATGTAATGGTGGAGGTACACACATATTGATAGATGTCTTGTAATGCACTGTTGAGGAACCTGCGACCAAAGTTTTTCATTCATTGCATAACTACACCGTAGTTGTGTATAATATGATATGTCAATAAACCTTAGAAAATCTTGAAATCTTGAAAGGGATGTGCAAAATAGTCATTATATACAGTCTTTAATGTCAATAAACCTTAGAAAATCTTGAAATCTTGAATGGGATGTGCAAAATAGTCATTATATACAGTCTTTAATGTCAATAAACCTTAGAAAATCTTGAAATCTTGAATGGGATGTGCAAAATAGTCATTATATACAGTCTTTAATTAACTATTTGTAGAGAATAACGATGAGTAAAGAATATACTTTATAGGGATCCTATTAATATCTAATAATAAAATGATAAAATGCAATAACGTGCTTTAACCAGTAGGTGTCCCTTTCTATCAGCTGTGCACCGTTATGGCGTAAATACAGCCTCTCTACCAATTGGATCAAATATAAAAGTCAGCCGAATTAGTATTGATACTGCAAGGAGACGTATTGTGTGAAAATAAATGTAAGATGTGGTTTAATTGCTTATATATTTAAGATCCACGTCAAGTTTTCAGTTTTGGCGGCAGTGCCTGTTTGTCTAGAAGTCTTGTCATCAGGGCAGAGTTAACTACGGCAGATATGTCATATTTAATGCAGCCGAAACGTGTATTACAATGCCGTTATGTGATGACTTTCAAAGAGAAAAGCAAGCACACTCGGAATAATGTATTATTTAATTGTTTTATACAGTCTATGGTTGCTACAGAGGATTGTGGGTAATGTCATGTCTTCGACCATCCAAAACTCATAGAAAACGACTTGTTTCTCAGAATTGAAGGGGAAAACGTGACAAAAGCATTGTACACACACTAAAACCTATCAATGTAATTTAATTAACAAGGATAATCTGATGTTTTTGAGTTGATGAGTAGGGGAGATATCACTGTCAAATCAATCGACAGTAAGGGGAATACTTACTTCCGGGTGTACAATTCTCCGTTATCCAATGGGAATGGACGCTCACATTGCCTTTAACAGCCTCTGACACAAACGAATGCCGTGCTTCCCTAAGCGTCAAATACCGACGCCGATGGGAATACATTGCAATCAGTTGAAAGCTCTTTGCGTCCGTTTATGAAGCTGAAGGAGCCTCGGCGCGTCACAACTGGACGCCACGGGACCCTGACCAAGCGTCACTCCTGGACGCTTAGGGAGTGAGAGTGTGTTGGTTAGAGAACTGCTGATTCGGGGTCCTTAGCTTGAAAAAAAAGAGGAGGGGGAGCTAATGCCTGCTCAGAATTCAACGAGATACTCAGCTAAATGCTGCCGTGATTAAACGCCATATCATGTTCCAAACCACATTAAGGATTATTTCTGAAACAGTATGGAGCTCAAATGCTTTTTCTCTTGCGGGTTTACCACAAGGTGAGTACCTTTTTTTATTTCCTGCTTTTTTACACATACTCTCTCCAGTACAGGTTAGCTCTGAGTGTTAGCGATGCTTGCTAATGTAAACAAAGACCATATTACGTCCAAAATAGTCGGGCATTGTTTCTGATAGCAACGTTTCTGATAGGGCCGTGGGTGTAAAGCCACCCCACATTTTCGATATTACGTTATATCGGACGCAAATCTGGATCAGCTCCGTTGTATGTTTTGTTTTCTGACACTTTGTGAGTTCCCTGGCACACCGGGGACACATATGTATGTATAAAAGACATCAAAAATGCATTTTGCTATAGGTCCCCTTTAATGGTGGCCTAAACCCAGCATGCTGTTATTCCTAAGAGCAGAAACAAAGGGGCTACATGCAGTCAATATCATGTCCACATGTGTGGTCATAAGAATGGTTTTAGTTTAAGGGAAAGTGAAGCAATTGTGTAATGAAACAATATGGGTTTGTGCCTCCTTGTGTATCTTTTCTATTTCTCACTTTATTTGTATCCCGCTGCCTTAGACTTTAATCTGAAACAAAGCAGGACTTTAAATTCCAACTGTGTTTTGGGAAAGCTAAGAAGCATTACTGCAGACATTTTAGCTTTCTATCAATACATTTCCTCTCTCGTCTCTTTCCTATCTTACCTCGCTATGCATTTTTCTTGATCCCCTGTGTTTTTTTTTTGTCATTTATATCCTCATCTTAAAATAAATCTTATCATGGGGAAATATTACCAATCAAATGCTGACATCTTCCAAACTCTGACAAACTTTAACTTCAGCTTGAAGTCTCTCTCTGTTGTTCTGTCACCTACATAATCGCTCCCTATTATTCTGGGCTGTGGGCGCCCTGGCATCATAATTAGGTTGCATTGATCGGGGACATTGTAACCAGATTGATGAAAAGCAGCTTTGACAACTCCAATCCAGCCAGCGAACATCATCGGGTCCACATGGACAATAAACCACTAGAGATCACACTGAATCTGCTCTCAATAGGAGCGGCTCACTTTGGGTGTAATTAAGCTTCTAATATGATTAAATCTCTCTCTTTTGAATCCCTGTCTCTACTTACTGTCCCCACCCACCGGTACAGCAATGGGCTATGGGTAAATGTTCATTAGTCTTTCTAATTGGCTGATGATAGACTATCTGGATGAGATATTAATGTTAGGAGGTTACCTGCCAGGAGAAACAAGAGAGCTTCTGGCTTCATATCTAATTGCATTAATATTAATGAAGATATTGTCTCAAGAGTAATTAAAAGGAAGATATACACAATGTCTTTGTATCCAGTGCTAGGTCACAAGTGCACATGTTTTAAAATTAAGAACACGGTCTCATTATGATGCCTGAGTCAAGCAGCAAAGTGAAGCTGGAAATGTCCGAAATCCCTCACTACTACTCACGTCAACAACAAAATATGAATTGTGTGTAGAGTTTGAAAATAAATTGATATTGTTTTGCACTCATACACTTAGATCTGTGATACAGTTCCTTCCAAACCTTTAAATGAGCACATTGAGGATGACTATTAGGTAACTTTATAAACTGATTGCTGATACTGGCATGACTGTATTTGTGGTCCTACATTTTCAGGACCTTTGCCAGCTGCCGTTGCTCGTTTCATTTTCCAAAACTCCATGAGCCCTTTCACTGATCAGGCCCCTTTCTGTTGGGAAATACCATGGTAACAGTTTTGGCAAGAGCTGACCTCGGCTATCGCAACAAACACATACACTCAAAGCACAAACACACACACACTTTCTGCTGCAAGTGTTCCCCACCAGAGTTGGCGATTGACATATTCCCCATGGCCCCGGGGCCTCACTAGTCAGAACTGAAAAGTAATCAAAGCAGACACACAGGTCGAACTTTATTATCAAGAACTCGATAGCAGCTGCAGGAACAACCTCAGCTCCTCCAATATACAGTAAACAGGACGTGCAAAATCTAAAAGGGCTTTTCAGGCAGCAGACACATTTTGGCTTCCCTCGGGCCTGGAAGCTTTTCACAGCTGACTCAAAGATGATCTTTTTTCCTTTTGGATGATAAATTGAGGTTTAAGGACTTGGTGACGCTGTATGAACCAAAGCTGATGACCTGACAGAGGACTTGGAAATATCTCAGGTATGATTCACCTTATTCCCCTTCCTTTGTCCTTTAAAACTGTCCCTCATCAAGTGAGTTAAATTGTTTTTTGTCCATAAATCAGAGATTAACAACGTTTTTTGTAGTTAAATGAACAGATCATTTTATCAAATAAATGAATACATTAGAATACTTTAACTTTGTTAGTAAAGGTTGAGAGGAACAAATCGTTTGAAAGGCATTTTGAAAAATGTCATCTGTAAAGTCTCCGCCGACAGAAATCAGCAGGATTTACTTTCAATCGAAATGCATGACATTGTCCAAGGGAATCTGTGATGTGTTAGGTGTTTGGTAATGATGTGCTTTTCAATCCGATACTCACCTTGACAACTATTTAAAAAAGTAAACTTTTGATCATTTCACAGTATTGTGCTCGATTGAAGTTCATTACTTTTACACAGTGTGGGGGATATAACACATTGCACACGGGAGATAATAGATTTGATCATGGTTTATTTTTGTATACCTCACGGTAACTGTTTGAAATGTATCAGACCTACTTTTTCTAATACATTGGACCTTACTGTATATATGAATAATCTGTGTCCATTGCATAAAGTACACTCTGCCAATACTTAATTTAATAAATAGCATCAAAGTTTAAAGGCATGAATGATGCATCTGTTAAATTATGCAAAGTTTTCTCATCATGATAAATTAATTGTACATGAATATACATTGAATGCTTTGAATTTAACAACACAATGAATGAAGCAATAAAAAGCACAGAAAATGAAGTACAGCAGGCGTAATGAATCAGTCCAACATGGTTGATATGCAGAAAAGTAATACAATGAAAAAGCTCAGCGTGATACTGCTGATTCGGAGCTCTTTGGTCTTTCAGGGATTCCAACTGGTTCTTGAGTAGGCATGGAGTGATTTGTTAAACTTTCTGGGTCAATCAATATTTGTAATTATGAACAACTTCCTCCAAATGAACTTCCACACCATCTGATTATTGAATAGGCATAAATGGTTTTATAACTATGGAAAAAGACTTGACTCAGCTGTTGCAATAAAGTTTGATGTTTTCTTGTTTGTGAGCAGTATTGTGGACAGCACATAGTGGAACCCTTGTGCTATTTTCCTCCATGTTTTACATGCATTTTCCTGTCCTTTGGTATTGTTGCGACTCACCACAAACTTTACTGGCGTAGTCAGTAATAATTAAGATGTAAATGTTCTCAAGGATGATCTGGATTGCACCACCTGCCTGCTCATATCAGGCCAATGGTGCTCGTGCTATGATTTTTTGGCTTGGTTTGCAGACATCCATAAATCAAATTATAACCTTCATTGTGTGTAATTATACAGGATTACCAAAGTTCATAAAAGGGCTGTAAAACACCATCTAAATGCCTCAGTAAATTGTAATTTAAGGCCTGTTCCCCTTCTTTAACACAGTCAATCACAGCAAAAGTGTTCAATATTGCCTATGAATAATTCACATAACACCTCTAAACTGTTGTATTCTCGCTCTCTTTACAGCTTTTCTACACATTCAGTGCCGGCACATTGTCCTCAATCTGTCAAGTGGAGAACCAAACTCAGTGTGAGAGGCACAGCCGGACAGTAACAGAGACTGTTATTCGTCACCATTACAGGCCGTGTGGACCGCGTGATTTACTGACCCCACTGGTCTGTAGTGGTCCCACCATGGGGAAGACTGGGAAGAGTACAGTGGACTCAAACTCCCCAACAGAGGTCAAACAAGCAGTTCCTTTTGAGGAGCTGGATATTGTGGCGCCCCCTGGTGATGAAAAGAAGGACAAAGAAGAGCCACCTGACAGGGGAAGCTGGAAGGGAAAGTTTGATTTCCTCCTGTCATGTGTGGGATACGCCATAGGCCTAGGAAATGTCTGGAGGTTCCCTTATCTTTGTGGCAAGAATGGAGGAGGTATGTGCTATCGTGAGACTGAGGGAACCAAAATATCTTAAGTCAGTTTAAGATACTCAATACTTTGAAAGCACACGTATTTAATGTTAGGGATGAAAATAATTGTATTGAGATGTGTTGAGTAGTACACCCAAAGCCACAACAGTTATAAATACAAAGCAATAAAATGTGACAGCAGTGTCAAATCCTACGGAAGCCCTGTTGTTATGTTATGTTGGTTTTGAACCAACACTATAGAGAGGCGAAGTCCCGCCCTTCTACTTCCGCCCCATGGGACCTTATTTCGGAAAAATTATGTATTGAAGTCAATGGAGAGAGAAAGATTATCTTTCGATCCCGTTTGAATTGTGCCACGAATTACACATATGATGTTTGTCAATCTTAAAAAATCATTTCCATGTCAAAAAAGTCACAGTTTGTCGTAAAACTGTTGAAATATAAGACTATGAAAAATACGCAACTAGAAAGACTACAAATCCCAGAGTTGCGTAAGTGATGTCATTAACGTTACACATTACACTCGTGTTACTCACCGAAACCTTGTAAAGCCGGTCCCGCATGCTGGCTCTTACGGAACCAACTAACTCCCCTTTTGTGGATGTACAGCTCTCAACATGCCCAGACTTGGAGTGATGTTCACCTCTTTTAATAATTTTCTCCTCATTCTGAAAGAAAGAGGTGAAATGTGCCAACGTGACGGCCATCTTGGTGTGCGAGACCAGAGATGTAGTTCATTGAGCGGTTCACACAAAAACATTTGGTACTTCACAGTTTTACGACACATTTAAAAAAATGTTGACTTGCAAAATTATCTTTTAAATTGACAAACATCATATGTGTAATTCGTGGCACAATTCAAACGGGATCGAAAGATGATCTTTCTCTCTTCATTGACTTCAATACATAATTTTTCCGAAATAAGGTCCCATGGAGGTCCCCCGGAAGGGGAGGGACTTCGCCTCTCTATGCCCACCATGAGCCCCATAATGGGCATGCTACCCAACTACAACCAGCTAACATTATATTAAGCTAGCTATCATTGCTGCTAAAGCCTATCAGACAATTAGTTAGTCAGCTACTTAATTGTAGCTAGCAATAGCAACAAGTATACTCATATCTACCGCACCAAGTAAGGCTAACAATATGTCAGGCTAACTAGCATGCCAATGAGCTTCCAAATGAAACAAACAGCCTGTTAAACTAGCTAGCAGAGAGCATGTGTGCTGCCAAACCAATGCTCACCACAGTAAATTGTGTGAAACAAAATGCATTTGCTTAGTCTAAGAATAGTAGCTTCTGGTCTTCCAAGACCCGACCGGACAAAAGACGTGTTGCAGGCACGAAACATACTACCAATAGAAATACATTGCATTTAAAATCGTTCTGTGTGACACGAAAAAAATGTGAAAATCGTGTTGGTGAACACGAATCAATAGATTAAATTAATTTCGTGACTAATAACATGAAATGCCGTGAGACTGGGTTGGAATAGTACATGCATGTCTCTTCTTCCCTTTTGCCTACTCTTCCAAACGACAAGCCCCTTAACAATTCACTTTATTGAAATGAGGTACTTAGCGAACCATTACCATTTACTGAAACTTGTTGTAAAACTTTCTCTTTGGGCAATGTGAACATTCTTTGAGAGATGTGTGTCTCTTGCATGCACATTGTGAAATATTTTTAAAAGAAACACTGCCTTCCAGCATTTTTCATATAATGATATGAATATAATAATAAAGTAGGCTACGTCTTCCGGCAGGAGCTGTGGTTTAACAAATTGGTGGTAGAGATGCCATTTTCCCAATATGACAGCGATATTACATTTCCTCTCAGCCTTAAAGAAATGTAATCTTAAACTTAATTGTTTCTAATTTAATAGCTTCCTCTTTATAATGATATTATGATAGGCATTCCAAGTTAAATGACATGAAACCCTCAATCCTTCTTATTGCTGTCTACATTATCTTACCAAGCATGTTTTGTTTGTCTCCTTTGTGATGATTATAGGGGCCTTTCTGATCCCCTACTTTTTGACCTTGGTGTTTGCTGGGATACCTCTCTTCTTCCTGGAGACGTCTCTTGGACAGTTCACCTCAGTGGGAGGAATGGGAGTGTGGAAACTAGTCCCTATGATGAAAGGTAAGATATTAAAAAAAACGGTTATATCATTCGAATGTACGGTACACATATTTTGAGTTACCGACATGCTTTTGAGCATCCTAAATAAACTGTATGCTACCAAGAATATGCACTTACCACTAAGCTTTGTTTATTAGCACATATATATCAGTCACACTCGTGATGGGGAGGCGTGTGGTGCAGTGGGTTGTGCGTTGGTTTTCGGATCAGGGGGTCACAGGTTCAAACCCCACTGCAGCATGTCGTTGTGTCCCTGAGACACTTCACCCCAAATTGCTCCTGTGGGGATTGCCCACAGTATTGAGTGTGTAAGTCGCTTTGGATAAAAGCATCTAACAAGTGACATGACATGACACACACAGTTCAAAATTGACCTTGAAGGACACTCTCCACCAATATTTTCACTTGACATCAAGCCCTTTCCCCATGCAATTGCACCAGTCACAAAAAAAAACAAAGACACCCAAAGAGGTGCATAAACACAAAAGCTAGAAAAAAAGTTTTGTGAACAACGTTTTTCATTTAACAATATTTTTCAGTGATTTCTTGGTGGTAGCAATCATAACACTGCCTCAAAGCTCAAATAGCTCGAGTGAAGCGCATTTTATCTCCCGCCAGCACAGATTGCTACAATGAAAGTGAGTGTGCTGCTGTGCAAACTAATACTCAAAGCCAAGGGCAAGTCAACATTAGGAATAGGAACATGACAATGATGAGGATGATGAACATAATAACTCACATGCTGAGTGATTGAGGAGAGAGTTTTTTGCACCCCTTACTTATTTTTGTTACATTGTTTCCTTGCATGTTTTGCTGACTTCTCAAACATTGTAATGTAAAATGCTGATGTCTGTGCATCCTTCTTCTTCAGGTGTTGGTATAGCTTCAGTGGTTCTGGCCTTCTGGCTGAACATCTACTATATTGTCATCATCGCCTGGGCACTCTACTACTTATTCAACTCCTTTGGTTCGGTATGTTGCATAATCATTTGGGAGTAACTAAAGTTGTGTGTATTCTAAGCATTGCTAAACTGATTATAATGATTTGATAAACAGCATATTAAACTGCAAAGAAGTTTTTGAAAAACATGTTTAATGGATGATTTTCCATGCAAAAATGTGATAGTTTAGGCTTCTCAATTTGAACAGGACAGGAAATGTAATATAGTTTGTTGAATTTGGGAATTTGTGATAATTTTCTGACTTTTTATAGACTAATGTAGTATTAATTTACATGTCAGATGACTCAATGATAAATACAACAATCGATTGCAGTCCCAAGAAGTTTGTGTTGCTTTTTCCCATTTTGTTAATTCAAAGATTTAAGTGCTGAAATGAAAACAGGGAGAGTTTTGTCTCTTTCAATTTTGCTGTTTGGGTTCACTCTCTTGGCTCTCATGAGGCCATGAAAATCTCTGATAAAGTGACTATTGTACCTTCTTGTACAGTAGTGTCATGTCAGTGTTTAAAGCTTGTTTCTGCTGCCACCAATTGGCCAACAAATAAATGTTGCAGGCTCAAGGTGAAAGTATTTTTGAAACTGCATTGTAGGCACAATTTAAATTCAGTTTATATACTTCAGCAATGCGTGCAATGCTGTCATCATCTCATGTCCTGTTTATCAACACCACAATTGCACATCTTTCTATCTACATTCTTTACTTTTGTATCGTGGGTGACCGGCTCAAAGAAGCCTGGTGGAGAAAATTGACAGAGGTTTCAGAAGAAAGGACACAAATATATATTGTTCAATGTTGTTATCTGGAGGACAAAAACCAAGTTAGGCTACTAAACTGTGGAGAGTCAAGGACACATGATAGAAGTGACTTTATCTTTTTCTGAAGAGCTATTTATCATACTCATACATTTATTTTGTTTGCAGGAGCTGCCTTGGCAAAGTTGTGATAACCCTTGGAATACAGAAAAATGTTTTTGCAACTACAGCCTCACAGACACCACCAACCTGACCAGTGCTGTCACCGAGTTCTGGGAGTAAGATATGCCATACAGTAGGAGTGTGTGGGTGCAAGATGCCCTTTGCAAGAATATGTAGAATTATTACTGTAAACTACCTTGGCTTATCTGTGTGTATGTGTGTTCCTGCAGGCGTAACATGCACCAGTTGTCCAGTGGGCTGGAGGAGCCAGGAGAGCTGCGCTGGCCCTTAGTGGGCACCCTTGGGCTGGCCTGGATCCTGGTCTACTTCTCAATCTGGAAAGGAGTGGAGTGGACAGGAAAGGTCAGATTTTGTGCTGACATGTCCGTCTTATTCTTTATTTAACATATTCCCATGAAATGTTGTACAAAAAAACATGGTACCTACTTCGGTGATCTCCCAAATGGTCTTCTAGCACATCATAGGATTAAAACATTTAGTTTTCTCAATAACCATTGGATAGATTGCCAGTCAATCATGTCCCCTTCGTCTATCACCATCATCAGTTAAATGTATCCACATTATGACATTCCAATCAGAGGTTGTGTTAATTAGCTCCACAGATTCGAACAACAACCTTAAATATATTAAATAAATAATAGAGACATGTATTAGTATTTATTTATTCTCCGATAGAGTGTTTCTATCTGCTGTCAACTCTGTCTTTCTCTCAACATTTTACAAATAGACATGGTTTCAAAATGTATTATTCAATACCAAACTCCTGGATGATTTAGAAGGGATAGCAAAGAGTTAGAAGAAAAAAAAGATCTCAACTGCCTGGGATGTTTTAATTAGCAAGTCCATGCGATGTAGGAGAGCAGAAACACATTTACACATTCACTGCTAGTGGATAATTGGATTTGAATGTGTGGCATCTGAGAGCAGTGAGAAAACTGAATTCCCCCCGGGCCCAAATCGTGACGGACAGCACCAATTAAACATAATGATTATGCAACAGAGCTGCAGGCCAGAAACGTAAGGCTCCGGGAAAGTCTTCAAGGCAAAGAGAAGGCATGGAAATATTTTACTCTTACTGAAGAACAGTTTTGCATCTCCTGTTGAGTTTTTTAATTATACAGGATTCTACACTTATTTGTATATACTGTAACTGGTACTTTGACAGTATGTTGTCCACCTGCATGTGCATTTTTGTTATTGTAATTTTCAATTGTTTTGATCTTAAATGTTTTATTCATGCCTCTTGATGAATATCTTTGCTATTTTTGGCTCTTCACTTTTGCTGTAACAATATAAATGTCCCCTCTTATGGACGAATACATGTGATTCTGAGATGGCTTTAATTTGAAAGCAGTTATGCTTGACTTTTTAGTCCTCATTAAAGCCACATATGGGTTTTTGGCTTTGATTTAGAATATAAATAAATGCCCCTTGAACACTTACAAATAAATGTCCTCTATGTTTCTCTCAGGTTGTGTACTTCTCAGCCACCTATCCCTACATCATGCTGGTCATCCTGTTCTTCCGTGGGGTCACTCTGCCTGGAGCCATAGATGGGATCCGCTTCTACATCACTCCAGACTTCAATAAGCTCATCCGCTCTGAGGTAGACAGTTTCATCCAATCGCACAAACCTGATCAAAGACAAACAGACGTGAACCTGGAAGTGTGTGTGTTTCTGACAGGTGTGGCTGGACGCAGCAACTCAAATCTTCTTTTCTTACGGACTGGGCCTGGGCTCGCTCATCGCACTGGGGAGCTACAACCCCTACAACAACGATGTATACAAGTAGGAACACGCTTTATTTTTCCCGATTGTTCATATCAAGTAATGTTCTTTCACCTTAACTGTGAAGTGTTTTTCTTTCTCTCCAGGGACTCCCTCATAGTGTGCGGTATCAACTCCTGCACCAGCATGTTCGCTGGCCTTGTCATCTTCTCCATTGTAGGCTTCATGTCCCATATCACTAAGAAACCAGTCGCTGAATTAGCAGCATCAGGTACAATGCTCTATTCTCTTGTTTGGCAATGCAAAAAAAAGTCTAACAATGTTACAGTGGGATTACATTTTAGATTTAAAGGTAGGGTAGGTAAGAATGGAGAAACCAGCTCGAGTGCGCTAGAATTTAAAAGTACGCAGCCGCAAAAAATATGCCCCTTCCTTGAGACTTCCTTACAGAGCCCCTCCTCCAACACACACGAACGCGCACATGACCAATGAGGGCACGAGATAAGTTTGTGCACGAGATGGAAGGCTGACAGGCAGGTAGGCCATCCAATTATCTGACCCGAGCCGGCTCAGATAATTGGTCTAGCTTTTTACAGCGCCACGGCTTCCACAGATTAAATATTTGTATATGGGCCATTCTACCGAATTGGACCAAAGTCAGGTTGGAAATGTTTTGAAATGTTGTGTTTTTTTCCCAAAACTTTGTCCATATATATTTTGTATCATATCTAAATTATACATATCTAGTAAAAGAACCGTACATTTTTATATCGTATTTTCAGACTGTATTGGAATGTTCTTCCTCTACCAAAAATGGTCACTACCGAAACATAGTAAATACACTGCAGTAAAACTGTATTATATGAACCTGTTAAGATTGTTTTACCTTCCTTTCTCTAAATAGTATTTTAACAAATATTTCTTGAGGGTTTTCACAATTAAATTAATAAAAGTGAATTTGTAAGTTCAATTTATACAATTCATAAAAATCATAATGCAAACTTTCTTTGTAAAATGCATCATACTGATCATATTGATTCCAGAGTTGATGATTGTTGAAATTGAACATACATTAAACCAATCAGTATCATATCATTTTAGTCGATAACTCAATATACTTAATTTTTTACAAAACATCCACTGTTTCGGTAGTGACCACAGTATTTTGTTCTCAAGGTTGTATCATATTCCCTCAACCTTATTGCTTAATCTTAACTCATAACATGCCTTATGTTGAAGTGTGAATGTTTGAAGCTACTGACCCAGAATCAGCACTTTAGTAACAGACTGAAATAGAGGGGAATGAGGCTAGAATGCATGATCTGTTTGGTATTTTGAGCAAAACACTTCATAGACACGTTTTTTATATATCTGAGACCTATAATATAGGCCTAACAATAGTATAATAAGAGACCTTTAAAGTAACACACTGATTTTCAGACTTTAAAACACATTTATTTCAAAATGGTGAGATTTACTGTACCTGCTTACCATTCCATTTTGTCACTACCGAAACGATCATGTCAATTACCGAAACGTAACCATATGTTTCGATAGTGACCTTTTCGGTAGTGACGATTCTAGCTAAAATAGAGCATAACTAAAGAATGCTAGCAAGTACATGGCTAGCATACACGTTTTTGAAGAGGTTTACACACATAAAAACCTAATACTAGTTAGCATTTGACCACTTCCGGTTCCTTCGACAAAAACCAATGCAATTTCTCCATAGGATTTTGGAAAATAGCTCGAAATAAGGTCTGTGGTTGACACAAATTGAAGAGACAGATCACGTTTTGTTCAGCTGGATAATATCCACATGTCTACCCTACTTTTATAATTTTCGAATCATAAATCTAATCGATAGATTTATGATCGATAGATTTAAGATTCGAAAATCAAAAATGAACAAAACGTGATCTGTCTCTTCAATTTGTGTCAACCACAGACCTTATTTCGAGCTATTTTTGTATATATGAAGCTTATCACTATCTAATGTAATGCCTTGTGTTTGAATAGACCATAACATATTCTTAGTAAATATCTATGTCTGAATACTTAATTGTTTTGTTAAATAGTTTTTCTTGTTGTGGGACCGCACTTTGTACTAATTCGGTAGAATGCCCCATATATTTATTGTCAAAGCATTTAATTTATTCATTGATATCGGGATATTAAGAGCATTCCATGGAATATAACAAAAAGTGTTTCTGAAGTGAATTACCTACCCTACCTTTAAGCTATTAAAACTAATAGAACCAATATCCTTCTTTATAAACAGCAAATAAATGGTCTTTTAAACTTCAGACATGTTATGTCAAAATACAAATACAAAATAACCTCACTGCACATTTGAGTGAATATACTGGATTTGGGGTTAAAGGGTTAGGTTTAGGGTTAGTAAAATGTACTTAAAAAGGTGCTTGTGTCCTGTTTCTTAGGTTTTTTGACATGTATACATCGATTCTAATGCATTTTTAGTAGGTTACAGTGTAATGTCTCAAATTAAGCATTTGTAAAGTATTTGTTTTGTCTTGTTTGTGACATTTAGGTCCAGGTCTGGCCTTTTTAGCGTATCCTCAGGCCGTCACCCAGCTGCCCATGTCCTCTCTGTGGGCCATCCTCTTCTTCTCCATGCTCATGATGCTGGGCCTGGACAGTCAGGTACAAAGAGCACACACTTCACCTGCTGCTGCACAGAATTATATATTTATAAGACTTTTGTTCTTAATCGACCCTGTAGCCATGCTTTACTCTTAAATACCATCAAAAGCTATTAGATCAAAGTTTACCATACATAATTAAAGGTCACCTATTGTGCAAAATCCACTTTTTCATGTCTTTTATACATCAACATGTGTCCCCTCTGCGTTAAGAGATTCTGAAAGTTTCAGGAAAAAAAGATTAGCTCTCTTTTTGTCCTGATCCATTTATATAAAAACCTGTCTGAAAATGAGCTGATCAGATTTTGGCCACTTTATGATGTCATAACGTTTTTTTGGCTTGTGTAACCATTAGCCAATAACCAACCAAGGTAACCCCCCCCCCCCCCACCTTATCACCTGAATCCCCTCCTAGAGCATCATTGTGTTCTTTTTAACCAAATATCTCTCAGAGGGGCGTGGGGAGTGGCTCCTTATTTTCATCTAAAGCAGGGGTGGGGAACCTCCGGCCCGCGAGACAATTTGATACGGCCCTCGAGGTAATTTATAAACACACGCAAAAAAGAAAAAAAATTAAGAAATCTAGACCGCAAAATAATTAAACAAGCGAGTGCCTGTTTTTCCTGGCCAAGGTCAGGGTCCTTGAACACAACACGAGCCTAACGTGTCATCACGTGGTATATGTATCGTCTGACAGGGGTGCAGTTCTGACGGAGAGCACCAGAACACGGCTCCGGCACTTCAGATAAGGAGCTGTACACATGCCGCAGTTTTTGCGTGGCTGTGTCTTTAGTTGAAAGCCCAGTGGCGTTCTGTTCATCTGTCATACAGTCAATAACTTTGTTGTTATTGTTATTGTTATAGAGGTCAATAATTTGTACGGCCCTCGGAGGATGTTGAAAACATTTAAATGGCCCTTGAGAGGAAAAAGGTTCCCCACCCCTGATCTAAAGTAACAGACAGAGAATCAGCACTTTTGTAACAGGGCTGAAACAGAGGGGATTATGGGATGCTACAATGATCTGTTTGGTGTTTCAGCCAAAAACGTCAGACATGTTTTGTATATATCTGACACCTATAATATATTGATGAAAAACAGTATAATAGGGGACCTTTAAAAGTGTCTGGTGCTCTCGATGACTGTCAAAGACGTCCATCATGAGTTTAACAATGCTAAATAAGAGTGGTTTTAATAACAAACGGCAGTACTTTCTGACACATATCTCTTTATGATGTCATGTATCAGTTCTGCACAGTGGAAGGCTTCATCACATCTCTGATGGATGAGTATCCCATGCTGCTGAGGAAGAGGAAGAAGCTCTTCATCCTCGGTGTCTGCCTCGTCTCCTTCATCATCGGCTTCTCCAACATAACACAGGTACAGTTAGAAGACTTGGAGGATGAAACAGTTGTGTACATCTCGATAGATTAGCTTATACTTTGTGCTGCAGAATGTGTGTATGAGTATTATGAAAAGGTGGATGTTTCAAAGCACATACAGAAAAGAGACCTCTGCTGCATTATGACAAAGATTGCACAAAATTCTGCGGTGTGCGTTCATAAGGCATATTTTAATCAATGAAGAGGTGTATTAATCCTCAGCCTCTGATATGTGTGTCTCTGTGTGTGTTCAAACCTCCCAGGGTGGTCTGTACGTGTTCAAGTTGTTTGATTACTACTCTGCCAGTGGGATGTGTCTCCTCTACCTCGTCTTCTTTGAAACCGTTTCCATTTCCTGGATCTACGGTAGGAAATCTATTTCATGCAGTCTACTCTTGAACCCAACAAACCACACCTAAAATAAAATGAGAAAGTGCCAAGCGACTTAATGAATCAAACATGTCGATTTCCAATAGGCCTAAACACTGTAGCTGTGCAACAGGAAATTACAGGGAGTCTATCTGCTCCAACTTTTCTGATAAGGCTCTCCGTCCAATCAGCCTTCCCGATCTTTCACCCAATATAGCTTTGTTCTCGTGCTAATTATCTCCACATTAACACACTCACTTCCTTTTTTTGTCTTCCTCTCTTTATTCCACAGGAGCTGAAAGGTTTTACAAGGACATTGAGAGCATGATCGGCTATAGGCCATGTGGCTGGTGGATGCTCTGTTGGAAGTACTTCACTCCGCTGATATGCCTGGTAGGCAGGAATGATTATTGATTAAATGTCCATAATTTGCTTTTTTCAAACTGGCATCTTCTCCCTTATGGAGGGAATTAATCATATCGATACATTGGTTTCCTCTGGGAATCCTAGATGTCTTCAACACTATAGTGCATTCTGTAGCTGGCCCAGATTATATGGACTAAATAACAAAATTGCATATTTTAGGGAGTGTTTACCTTCAGTGCCATTGAGATGACCCCTCTGACCTTGGGGAAGTATGTGTACCCGATGTGGGGCCAGGTGATTGGCTGGTTCATGGCTTTGTCTTCCATGATTCTGATCCCGGGCTATCTCATCTACATGTTCTGTGTCACCAAGGGCAGCATCAAACAGGTACAAACCTCTACACATGTCTCTGTTTCCAATGTCTAGGTAGGATATTAACAGGTGGACATGGGGGGGGGAATTGTCGAGAGATATGGTTCAGGAAGCAGGGGGGGATTTAGTACGCAGTAAGGAGCATAACAAAATTGGTTTGGCTAAAGGACAAAAATCATTATTCTGTTTTTAAGTAGTAAGGTATGTTATTGTAAGGTGAGCACTGTGTTACTGAGTTAATCTTCTGTTAGCGTTTGCATGCAGCTAAACCATATTTTCATTGGCCATTTGTAAAAATCTTATTCTATTTAACATTTAGTTCCCTTTGCTTTTCCTTGAATTAAACACATTCACACTATTTCATTGTTAATTTTGATCTATTTATTACTCCCCTGTCTCCCCTGTTTCTTTAATGCTAATGTGATGTTGCTGTCTTTACTTGACCAGCGTTGGCGAAAGATGATAACACCGCGGGATGATGAGAAGCCATCGGGGCATGAAGAATTCACACACACAGGGAGCGTGGGCGAAGCTCGTGTCTAGCCAGGATCGTTCAGGTTGAAGTAATTCCCATCTGCCAGGACTTACTATAGTCAACATTGAATTTGACAATTGAACAGATGGAGTCTTGTACAACAATTTACAATCATTTCTTTCTCCATCATACATGTTATGGAAAACTGGAAAATGTGGGGACACTTTTTAAAAATAAATGTAGAATATAGAATATTTCCTGTTGCAATAAAAGAGTAAACTCTGATTGAATGTTATAGATCAGCATTGAACCTGTGTACATATATCACAAATATGCCATTCATGTGACTGTATATCTTTCTCCTATACTTGTATATTTTCTCTTCCATTCAACAAAACCACTGTCTTGGTCTAAAAGCTTACCACACATGTCTTGAATGTGTTGTACAGAAACATAACACAAATCTGGTAAAACTTGATTCGAGATGTAAAACTGTAATGCATCAAAAATGGTTTGCTTGTGGTAGCTTAAAGAACCAACCAACCAGCCACTGTGATATCTTTTCCGGCAATAAAATATATGGGTCATCCATTTGTTTTTTTTTGTCTTTGCTGATTCAGACCTACAAAAGACTCAGAACAAAGAGAAACACATTTGTAACTATAATAACCTCAAAGCCCCACACACAAATTAGGATCATTAATTTGCCGAAAAAACGACAAAATGCACAATAAGTAAAGTTAAATTCTGCTGATTTATGGTTAAATGCTACAAACAGTCCAATAATATTACAAAAAAACAGAAGGTTAAGAAACACATGACTCCTTAAAGCTGTAGTTCATTTTTGGCCACTTGGGGGCAGCAGAAACCAGTCCGAAACAAAAGACTGACATATTACCTGTATATTTTCCTTATACACACATATATAGGAGGATATGGCACATGTTGATTCCTCTTTCTTGTTTCTTGTTTTACTGGTTTCTTTTTGCTGATACGAGTCTTGGTTACACCGTTTCAAAATAAAACATATTTCCATAGCAAGTCTTAACAAATTGGCCAATGGTGGCTTTTCATTATTTCAAAAATTCAAACTACAAAATCAAAAGAACCAAAACAAACCACTGTAGTGAATAGACTTAAATCATCTTTAATAGCATGTTGATATATTGCAAACAGACAGGTAGAGAAGGAGGGAGGTGATGGTTCATATCTGTTACACTCAGTTTCCACCTGTTCTTACCTTAAATATGTCATTTTTATTTGAACTATATGAGCAAACACAGTGTTGAAGAGCCAGACCAAGTCGATATGTCTTTTATGAAGCGGTGCACTGGTATGGCAGAGCCCTTTTTTAATTTCTTTAAGAAAGTTAGCCACTACTGCGCTTCGATATCATATGCTGCTCTCCCAAAATGCTACATTGGTTTCCTTTCAAACATAAACTCATCATTTTCACTTTATTTCACACAAAGGATGTATTTTCCCCCCCAAAAAGCTTCAACACATTACCAAGTTTGCAACTAAAGAAAACATTGTGACAGACACACAAAAATGGCCATTGTTAGGCCTTACATTTGCTGTTGTAAATCCATTTTCTGTTCGACTGTTTGCTTTCTTTTTTGGCTAGCCCAGAAACAAAAAAATCTGTCATCCTCATTTCCCACTGGTATGCTCACAGCAGATTCAGTCATGCACAAAATAATCTAAACCTTTGGGAATCAAAGTTCAATAGGCCTGATGGCATGCATGAGAAAACAATATCACATTTATATCTGAATTTCGATTCAAACAAATTAGCAATCATACAATCATCATACATCACTCTAAAATCCATAATGTCAGAACTGTTGCAACTGATTTGTATTACATAACCTTCATACGTTTATTCATAGCCAGTAAAAAATATTAAAACTGTCATAACAGCTCTTTATTCATTAATGAAAGCGTTAATTCATCTTATTGTGCTGTGAAACAAAAGCATGAAGTTGGATTTGTTGACAGGAAAGTTAGGATGCTACTGTGAGGTCAAACACTCATTATCTCTGCCTTTTTTTCCTGCAACCTCTGTCTTTCCATGGGGGGAATGTTGAGCGCAAAAGGACAACAAAGATGAGATAGAGACCTCCCTGCAGTGGCTCTTTGAGAATAAACCAACAAAGGTGCGGGTCAGATGGGGGCTGAGTTAATCAAATGTTATTCACGCAGTACCTGGTGGGGCTATTGTTTAAAAGATGGATGTTGACCTATTTCCGAATGAGGGACGTGTGACAGGGTAATAGCATTTTGACGAGGCTAAAGGCAGCTTGTTGTCCTTTCCGACACTGCTCCAATGTGATATTTACAATCTAGGCTGGGGTGAAATAGAAAGAGATCAGATAATGCATTATCTTTGTCCTAGCCTGTCCTTATTTAAAGCAGGCTTGCAAACAGCACAAACAATACCATTAATGCCAGCATTTGCAATATCTTTTTGCCTAGTTTTTTTTCTTCTAAATGTCAGACTAAAAGGTTAGGAGGGAAAAGAGAGGATCTGAAACAAAAACCTGCGAGATGTACGGATATAAAGAGACAGTGTCTGGATGTTTTGTGGGGAAAACACACAAAGGTTGAATATGCTTTTTACGCAAACCATAATAGAACACAGATCTTGACAGTTAACAGTTGCAGAAGCAATCTTCATGGAAATTCATGGCGATGTCCCTGAAGAAGCGATGGAGCGTTTCACAACAGATGACAGCACAGTGTACAGGACATTTATTACATGTGAATGCTGTATCGAGTTCTAGAAAAATCCGAGAGCAGTTTCAGCAGCTGAAACAATTTCAGTGTATGAAAAAAACCCCGCCATCAGCATCAAACATGTGGCATTACTCCTGGGAAGCGTTAGCGATATTACACATGGAGAGTGAAAGACAAACAACAGGAGAATCCCGGGCCGACTTTTTGGTTTTGGCAGCATCCTTATGATGTGATTGGTCGCCTTTGTTTCCTGTCATACTACACTGTAGGATGATCTATGGAGAGTGACAATTGAGTGAGAGTGTTTTCTCATGATAGAGAGCCACAACACAACAGAGGAGCGGAGGAAAAACGCAGCTTATCGCAGGATATCGTTTCTTCTTTAGTTTTTTTTTATCCAGGGGAGCAGAGAAGAAGAGAGAAGACTCTCAATCACCAAAATAAAACAGCACTAACCGGAGATAGTGTTTTCTTTTTAATGGAATATCAGTTTTATTTTATTTTTTTGTGGTCCTTGAGGGAGAAGCAAGAAAGGGCTGTTTTAAAGTAAAGGATAGAGTTTTTATTTGTATTTTCTTCTAGCCCTAGCGTTTAATCAAGTGTAAAGAAGTCAGTGTAAGGTGGAGGCTATGTATTTTGGCACAGGTTTTCAGTAAGTGTTCACTATGCACGCAGGCGCACATACAGCACAGTAGGCATGAGGGGGGAGGGGATGAAGAGAGCGGACAGAAGCAGAGGGTCCTTGGAAGGTGTCGATCCATCACAGTCCATTTCTGTTGTTGTTGAGGATGCAACGAGAAGACATCCATCCAGAAACTGAATATCTGTGTTTTCCTAGCAAGAGTTAAAACTGACAAAAAGTTTTAGAAATTTGTTAAAACTACATAATATTTCAAAATACATGTGGAATCAAGTAAAACTGTATATATGCACTTTATTTCTCCGTTTCTCTTTTGAAACTTTTTCTTTTAGTTTATTTTCTTTCCTTAAATATATGCATATAAGTGAGATTTCATTTTTTTATTATAGCTCTTTCATCTGTATGTATATATGTACATTATGTACTTAAATAGGTAGAGAAGGGGTGGGGTTAGGGTGTGTGAACGTGGGTGTTTTAGGGATAGACTACTAATTTATTTATTTACACCATGCTCCGTGAGCCACTTGGGGTCCGGTGTAGACTGAGGCGAGGGTCTGGGGGTATGTACTGATGTGGGTGGTTGTAAGGCGGAGGTGGGGGGGGCAGCGGGGGCTGGTGGCCGTCGTTGCCGTGAGAGCTGTCCGGCGAGCGCACCGGGGTGGACATGGCCGAGTGGCTGAGCTGGTGGTGGCTGTGGTGGTGGTGGTGCTGGTAGTGGTGGTGGGTGGGGGTCTGGCTGAGGAAGGCCTCCATGTGTCCGTGGCCGCTGTTGTCCAGCATGAAGACCTTGACGATCTGCTGACACTGGATCAGTGTTTCGGGCCTCAGATCAGACATGCTGACGGCCGCCTGGTGGTGCTGCTGGAGGTGGAGGTGGTGGGCGGGGGTGCTTGTTGCTGACTGCAGCTGCGGGTGCTGAGGGGGAGGCACCGGCCCGTAGGTTAGCCCCTGGGGCCCCTGCTGGAAGAGCAGCTCCCCCCGGTGGTTAAGAAGGGCCACGCTCTCGGGACTCGGAGCCGTGCTGCTGAGCTGGTACGTCTGAAGCCTGTTGTGAATTGACACCTAGTTTAGAAAACAGCCAAGAGAACAGCATCAAATGTTATAAAACTGGTTCCTCCTCTACAATCCGTCAAGCCCTCTTTTCTTTTTTTTGGGGGGGGGGGTGGGGGGGTGGGGGGTGGTGAACGCACAGCACACACACACACAAGGCATGCGTGGGGGCGTAGGTGTTGAGGGTTCGGTGGAGGTGTTAAAATCATTGTGACTACTGCACACTCCCCCCCCCTCCACCCCCACAGGTACTGGGAACAGTGTAGCTCAGATGCTGGGAGCAGCAGTGTGTGACCGGGGTCAGGGGGAGGACAGTGGTGGGGAACAGGGTGCGATTCCACTAAAAAAAAGCGGCCTGATGGTTCCAAAGGGGACACTGAGGGCCCCCGTGTCTCCTTTCAAAACCACTGTTTGGCGCTATGGTGACAGCGGACACGGGGAGACTTGTGGGGTTGGGGAGACCAGAACAAAGACGGAGGTCGTACGGAGAAGAGGGAGAGGTGTAAGGAGAGGAGGTGAGCAGACCAACAACCACAGACGTCCACAGGCAACACTCATCAGAATGCAAACCTCTGTATGTCACATTTATTTCAACTCACTTCAAACTGTTCTAACCTCAAAGTCTGTTTCTGCTATCTGTCTCCCTTTATTGTACCCTGCCTTGGAGGCTTTTCATGTGGCCTATTTTAGGAGATAGGTCACATTTCCAAGCAACCTTATACTGCAATTCTTCAAAAGCATATGCCGAAGCCCAAAAGTATTTTGAGGAACAAGAACCATTTGAAATGCATACTGTGTGTGGTGGAACAAAATGTGGAATGTGTTTGCGGCCAAAGCACATCGAGGACACTACCTTTATATTTTTCGCAAGTAAATAGATAGGGTGCATAGTGTTTGTCACCTTAAATAGAGTAGTCCAATTACCAGTTCGAACACAACACCCTGTTTCTATTTTTATTTAAAACCCTGCCTTTTTGGGGATTTTGTGAGATCAGTCTACAAATATAAACATTCACAAAGGCGGCCATTTATAGAACCTCATTCTCACATTGTCAAGCCACTTACAAATATACCTTATTGTTGTGTTGATTTCTCTTAATTTCTCATTTTAATGTCCTTTTGAAAACCCACTACAGACTTATGTCAATAAATATATATTTTTTTCTATTATAGTTTTCTTCTAGCCAACTTATTATTAGCTACGTAAGAGTCTCTAGCTTAATATGTAGAACATTTAAAATACTTGGCTCGATATCTGGAAAAAATATGTTTCCTTCAAAACATATTCAAGAATGCAGTGGAGTTGTATGAGACAGGATACTGTACTGTAATAATGTGCCTTTTGACTCAAGACTTGACTTAGCCGTTCAAAGACTTGAGACTTAAACTAGGGGATTTTGAAAAATCAGAACAATTCTTTGATATTTGGAGTGTTTGTTTTTTTTAAATGCAGGACATCAACATATCCAGCCAAAACTCCAGGTTCTGGTCTTCTATTGATGTATAGGTAGTTGGTAAAATGCATCATGCGCAATAATTAGCCATGTGCTTCTGAAAATGTTGTCTTTCTCAATCTACACCCTTGAAAGTCATGGTAATCGGCTGTCCGCACTACCACTAACCTGGTGGAGCACGTTTTTGATTAAAAGCTAAACCACACACAAATAAAGCCATCCTCCTTCCATAGAGACAGACAAACAGAGAATGATGTAGTAGTTGCCCTTTTAAACTCTGCCAGCTTCCCCCCCTCCCCACACTCCCCAGCTGCAGCCAATCAGATAACGAGCCTGCCACATGTGACCTCGTCAGAGCAGAGCAATGTCAGCTGGGTGACGCATAGTCCAAAGCATGCATGGGATTTGTTACCAAAATGACTTTAATGCACATGAATTAAATAGTATCACACTTAAATGATGTGGTGTTGATACATTGTTCTACTTGATCTTGACTCAACACAATTTTAGACTTTAGATTTAGACTTGAGATTGAATTTAAATCATCCCTTTTTCAATGTTGGTGTTAAAAATGATGTTCAACAAAATTACAGTAACCTTTAGAAGGGAAGCAAATTATCTCTCTGATTGCATTTTTGTTTTTTGGATGCAAAAAATACAATTCTAATTGTACTGGTTGAAACCAAAAGTCAACTTATTATTAACTTATTTCTGTTACTAAAACAGAATTGATTCCATGAATGTTCTTGAAGTTTTGTTTTAAAACCAACCAAGTAGTTTGTTCCTTAAATAAATAACCAAGTATTTTTGTTGTGTTCTGTTTCAATTTACAATTTTAACCCTAACCCTAACCACGTGTTTAGAACTGGGACTTTGATCCGGTAGAAAATACGTTAGCCACAAACGTAATTGAGAATGCAGTTTAGTAGTCGGGAACAAAATGTTTTAGGAGAAAGGGTTCTCTGTAGACATACATGTTTCATTATTTTGTAAATCAGTCAGCCAGCCTTTTTTTGAATAACAAAATAGTAGGAGTAGTTTTAAGAAGTATCCCTATAAGCTCGGCTACAGCTAGCTCCGCTTTGAACTACCAGCACTTCTGCAGTAATAGAAATACAAATGTTTAACTCTTATTAGTCTATACGAAAACACAATGTTATGTTATGTACTGAATTTATTTTTTAGATTACATATTCTTAATTTCAGACTGAAAATATTCTTTCAATTGTGATTAAAGTGAAGGACATCGAATAACCAGCACTGAAATTCCTTTGGTCATCTGGGGAAAAACAATCTCTATACTCAGAAATCAAACTATTGAAAGGCACCAGAAAGTCAGCTAAGTCCTTATATCTAAAGTGCTTAAAGGCTCATTGACGCTGTACTCACAAGTATGTGCCAAGTCGTCAAGAAGAAATAGTGGTTGGCAGGTTGAATAGGAGCAAATGATAATGAGGTTCTTTCACACAAGAGTTATATCAGCTCTTGTAAGAAAATGGGAGAAGCTTTTCTTACCTCAGATAACCAACCATTAAAAGTCTATTATATAGCATGGTGAACTACCGTTGACCTTATTCAAACAGTCGCCATTTTGGTGAGAAACTACATCATGATTGACACGTTCACATTAGGTTAAACGTTTTTTAATTGATTTTCTAAATGAACCAAGTCTTTTTTTGCATTATTGTTTTGTCCTTATTTAAGGGTTCTTGTGATGGGTTTAATAAAACGTAGTTAAAGTGAGAGAGGGACAAATAAAAAGGCTACAATTGAATGCTTTCGAGGTATAAAAATTGTATTGCCAATGAAAATGATTGTACCCTGAAAAAACTGAAACTTTGACTTTGAAAATATATTATGTCAACAGATTACATATAACTGTATTAGGTTATGAAAGCAATAACATTAAGTTGAATCTAATATGTAATACTTAATATTATTGCTTTCAACTAACCTAATACAGTTATGTGTAATCTGTTGACTTAATACATTTAATTAAAGTCAACGTTTCAGTTTTTTCAGTGTAGGGAATGCAACTCTTCCCCTTTTAAAGTGACTTCTAGTACAAACCACGCCCACTTCCGTCTCCTATCCGAACACAGAGAGGAATAACAGTGTTGGTTAAACAGATTCAGATAAGGATATTGATGTTTGAACATCCCGATTTGGCCACTTATATCTATGGGGCCAGTTTAAGCAGTATCCTCTGTGTGACCCTCCTGCTTTCTAAGATAAATGTGTTTGGACAGCGGCTCCCAACCAGTCACTGACATTTACTGCAGACTGCATGGTTGAGGGGAAGACGGCTGGGGAAGGTAGCTCAGACAACCATGAAGACTTCTGAACGTTTTGTCTCTTGCGCAGCTAAGTGCATGTTTGCTCTGTTTTTATTGTCACTCTACAGAAATGAAAGAGCTATGAAGCATTTAGGTGTGATGTATATTTATTTACTTACTTTTAACCAGCACCTGAGTAAGGATTAACACCCTAACATACCAGTGAGAATTAAACAGCCACAGTTGTCAAATTGACCGGGTGTATTTATCTTTTCGCTCCAGCCCTCTACTAGAAAAGACGAGGAAAAGGTCATCTGATGCCACTAGGATGGAAATTGCAAAGCCCCATGGGTACTGTAGTTGCTTGCACAAAATGTTCGCATGAGATGTTTTCGCTGAGATCTCACAGAGGGGTGGGGAGGTGACGTTTCCGGGTCAAAGGAGCGCTACATCTCTCCGCCTGCATGTTACTGTGTTAATTAATGCCTCAGTGCTGCATTTGGCTGCACACACACACACACACACACACACACACACACACACACACACACACACACACACACACACACACACACACACACACACACACACACACACACACACACACACACACACACACACACACACACACACACACACACACACACACACACACACACTATATGCATTCCACACATGTCCCCAGTTGTTTTTTCAGTAATGGCTGCTTTCTCTTTTTCCTTTAAATGCCCTAAAGGAGTCACCATTTCTGTCTAAGCTTTTGAAACTAATTACAAGCAATACTTTTTAGGCGTAAAGATAATATTTAAGCCCCTGAGTGTGATGCATTTTAGTGGGTAGAACCTGACTGTGAGGATTTTATTAGTTCCCCCCAAACCAACCATCTTTAATTTCTGTACGTCAAGGGAGTACTTGTATCTAACATTCGGTTGGGTTACCTCCCATGCCCGCAGCTTTACCCTGCAGCACTCCTTCTCTCAGCCTCTCTTCACCACTAAGGACAGAGGGTGTCGTATTGTCATACTGATATTCTGTACAAACTGTGAAGTCCACTGAGACAAGTGTAACATTTGTGATATTGGGCTATATAAATAAACATTGATTGATTGATTGATTGATTGATTGATTGATTGATTGATGCCTCTAGCCCTATAGAGATATGACTACTCCTGGGGTTTCATCCTATCTCATCCTGCCTTGGCAATGACCCTCTGCACTGACTTACCTTCAGTGACATGGGACACATCACTAAGCACTTACCTCTACTGCATTGTGTCCACTTCGCTCATCCATCTCCTGGTTTCCTGGACAGAGGGGAAAGATGGAGGGAAAAGAGACGAAAGTGGCAGCGAAATGTCTGTGTTAAACTGTCATTTATTTGGACTGAGTCCTAAGATGTTTTCAAGAGCAAGAAAACAGGACCCTTTATTATCAATCCACCTCAAATGTAAGGTATAAAACAGGGGTTCTAAACATACACCCTCCAATCCAGCCAGCTGACTTTGAAAAGTGTAAAAATGACAAAGAAATGAACTTAATTTTTAACATAACATATGTATTTTGTTAATAAATGTACAACGCAGGATAACTTAACCTTGGTGGTCAGGATTACTACATAGATGTGTAAATGAATGTAAAAAAAAATCTAGATCTTGACAAGTTGTTATGATCATAAAGTACATTTATATTGTTCAGGTCAAGACACGGTTATGCCTTGGCCTTTTTACTGTGTGTAAAAGATCAACTGAGGCATTCAATTGTTGAAATTGCACTTGTTTTTTTTTTAAAGAAATGTCAGGCTGCTCATAATAAAGTGTAAACATATAGTTAATTAAATGTGAACATTTTCCGAATTAACTTTTTTGAACTAAACCAAAGGGAACCATTTGGAATATGTATTGGTTATTACGCTAGGATTTGACTGGTCTGGCCCACTTGAGATCAAATGTGACTGTATGTTGCCCCTGAACTGAAATGAGTTTGACAGCCCTGGTATAAAATATATTTTTCCAATGAATGAATTCATGAAAACAGCGGTGGTTAAACTTTGTTGCAACATTGGGAAAATGAATGCAATTGAGGGCGAGGTCTCCACAGTGTGTTATGGAATTAAAAAGGTGCACACACACTCACTCACACACCTGATGGGGAGCCCTGTTTGCCACGCAGTTCTAGCTGGGTGCCGTTGTTCTTCACTGAGTGTGCCTTGGCCCCCTGCTGCTTCTCCAGCTCCCCTGCAGAGAACACAACACAAACATGATGATCACATAATCACTATGGCAGAAAGAGGAGCTATACAGACAGACAGGTAGAAGGTGTAGGCGTCAGAATATTAACCGACATAGCTCTACTTTATTTCAAATGCCGAACACACGCTCTCATTGCCTTCCCCTCCCACTCTCGCCTCTAATCTCCAAACGCAATCTTTCTAATTACACTTCACACTTGATGGTAATTGCATGTCATTTCCAATCATGATGACTAAATGTTGTTTTGTCTCAGACACCTCCATGAATTCAAATGTTTTACTGCAAAACTGCCAGGAGCCACATTTAGAGTGCCACACACAATGTCCTTCATTTCGTTTTGGTGCAAGTGTGGCAAAGATGTGACAAACTAAACAGGAAGTGACCTGTTTGGTAGTTTATTAAAGCTTCATGTAACAGAGAGTTCAATCTCAAGCTTTAATGTATTTTGTCACAAATTATAGGGGAAATTAATAAAAGTTTGTTAAATGGTGCAGGACTTTTATTGATATTTGTAACGTACCTATAATTATCACATTTCATAGGTTTGTCCCCCTAATTTTACATAGAATGGCCTTTTTTGTTGTTGTTTAGAGTAGATGTAGGACTGAATTAAAATAATCATAAACAGATAATTATGAAGATCCAGATAGAGGGAAAATGCACCTTGTATTAATAACAATAAGAAACCGTTTCCTTCCTGTCTCACAGAGGGAAGCCCAAACATCCGCAGGCATGTTTGCTAATGTGCCGACAATTCAAAACCCTTAGAGGACGACAGAACTGCCAGAAATCCTTTTTGTTTAAAACGTTTTTTATATCATTTCTTGAGGAAAATGTTGTGCTGCTTTGGTTTTTGTATATCTTTTAACAAATAGTTCTCAACTTGACTTCTTATTGGTGTGCGTTAGTTTGTGTTTGTGCACAGTAGCTGTCTCTCCTCGCTCCACTCTACTGGAAGAAATAACTTCCGTCCGTCACCCCCTGCCCCCCCCCCCCCCCGTATGTTACTGGCCCTTCCTCTCTCTGAAGGGGAATGCAGTTGCGTCATGTCCCAGCAGGGATGCTCTCTTTGATGCCCACTGGCAGGATCCGGGCTCTGAATACTCTGCTTTTTCATGTGGGTCTAAGTACGTGCATGTCGTATTGTCTGGAGAATTTCATATGTGCAAACAACTGAGATGCCTGGCAGCTTCCAGGAACACTGGCCTCCGTTCACCTCCAGTGTACTGCCTCCTGCAGTCTGTTAGAGCTGCAGTGCACCAAAGGAAACTAAATGCAAAAGTCAGCCTGCAACTGCACGCTAACAAATAATACAAAACAAAGGAATGGCTTCTGACCCATGTGTACTATAGACTACATTTAATATTTCCCACACAGAGTGTAATAATTCACTGTAGTCAGTCATTTTCCAAGATGTGAGATTATTATTTGGTCAAAAGATGATGCTGGGTGCATTGTTAATTGCCAAAGAAGAACCAAATACTTGGTAGACACAAGCTTGCACAAGTATAATGAACATGCATGCAGCAACAAGACTCATATAGAGAATTAGGATCAATCCAAGAATGATATGAACCTTCTTTATGTCACATGTACCCATCACGTTCTCTCTGTGTTTGGCAGCCTCCAGTCTTAATGGTATCATAAAGTGAAAAACCATTTAAAGACACTTACACTCGATGCGTATCTGCTCCATCTCCGACACCTCCGCGATTGATTCCTTCAGATCTTCTACGAACTTAAGCAGCTCCTCTGCACTTTGGGCACAGAAGTTAAGGACCTGCTTCTTGTCCGAGCCAAAAGGGGAGAGGATGGTGATACCATGAGGGTAGTCTGGCAGCACAGAGGATGTGGGATCGTTGAGAAAAGAATAAGAAGAGACATTTCAAGAATTGTCTACAAGATATTAGCTAGTTTTTCTTTTTAACACATTTACATCCAGGGAAATGTTTTAAAAAGTAATTGTATTCTTCTTTTGGAGATAGTGCAAAGGCAATATTAATGTGACACATTTCAATAGGACCAACCAGTTCTAGAATAATGCATTTCTATCATCATGAATATAAAATAAAGGGATAATATCCCTTTTGAAATATGGTCATAACTCCTTTATCCCTTGCTCACTTCACGATACTTTTCCTGTTTTGTAACGGTCCAAAGCATTGGGTCTCATAGGTTTTATGTTTTTCATGGGCAGCTGTCTGCAGGCAAGACTTTGTGACTTACATTCATTCTCAAACAGATGAAACTGCATGCCAAGCAGGCCCATTGCTTTGCAGAAGGTGTAGGCTGCAGAACTCTTCTTCTTTGGACAGAGCTTCAAGATCTGCACACAATCAGAAAGCAATAATAACTGTGAGAGACAGGAGAGCAGCTCAAAAAACAAATGTCTTTTTGATTGTCATTGAGATTTCCATATAAGAAAAATAGCTCTGATAGAAACACTCTGTTTGATAATTTAAAATATATTCAAAGAGCAGAAAGTCAATATTAATGTTCCGATTGTGCTCTGTGAAAAACAACACCTTGTCAACCTCATTTCAGGATGTATTAGAGATATTATTGTGCTTATTGAATGACCTTTTGGGTAGAGAAAGATGAGGGGAATCTGTTTTTCAGCGCAATTGTGAGGGGCATAATCTGCCAAGCGAGCTGTTTTAAACTAATACATCACATCGGCACTTCAAACACTTCTTGACATGTCTAAGCTGCTAGAACAGGGGCCAGATTCAAAGAAAAAACTCCCCATCACTTCAACTTCCCAGTAAAAGCTTTCAAAGACAATTCCTGCCCTGCTTTCAAAGCTGTCAGGAGAAAAAACTGAAAGTATCGCACCGCTAACCTTTAGTGCTAAATGAACAGAATTCCCCTGTGAGGCTGGAAGACTCTTCTGCTTTTTCACCTTCTACTTCAAAATCGGCCTTCTAACCTCTTTTTCCAGCAGCTACCAATTACTTTGTATGCTTTAGCAGGAAAGAGAGAAGTAGAGTAGCCATGTTTTTGTACCCAGGCTGTGTTTTTTGGAGTGAGTTCAATGTTAATTATACCCATCATTAAACCTTTGATAATTTTCCAATCGACATGATCAAGTGAACAACTTATCTAAATGGTGAAGCATAACTTTATAACTGGCCCTTAAAGCTGCTCTGTTGGGGACAGATCTTCCCGTATTAATGCGCTGCAAAACTGTACTGTACATGCTACCAAGTACTTTTAAAAAGGGAGGGCCGGGACCACAAAGGCAGATTTTAGGGAAGTTCCCTCAAGGGTTAAAATGGGAAAAGACCAAATGTATTTATAGCCCATAAAATGATGTCCCTACCTTGGACCAATGGCCCCAAAGACTGTGGGCAAAGATTATGGCTGTAAACCATATGGAAAAAATAACAGCGAAACTACTCAAGATTGAAATTTATTTAGAAAAGTAATCGCCTGTTATTTAGTCAATAATACAAGTCTTTACTTCCTTTCTCCTTTTTGTCTTAATATCTTTTATGTGTCTTTATTGTCATTATTCGTTTTATTATAATGTATTATGTAGTTAGTAAATACTTTTTACTTTTGTATGCACTCTGAGAAATTAGAATAATTAAAAAAAGAAGGTATACTGTAGTAAAGTGAACATATTGTAAACATGTAATTTTTGAATATTTGTTACAACAGTGCTTTTTCTATCTGTTCCATGTTGTGTGCGACTCACTGTCAAGGAACTTGTTTTAATACAAAATAAAAAAGTAAGGTCCAGAGAGACCCGAGTTATGAAACAGAAAGGAAGAGAGGGAGCTCTCAGTGAAAGGAGGTGATGGCGCATTGCAGCTGTCACAACACAATAAGAGGCTTTAAGATCCACTGAGCGGCAGAAACAACCAGCTAAAGAGAAACTGGGAGCAACATAAACAGTATGAAAAATATGTATTTTTACTATGAATCTTTCCTTGTTAACTTACCACAATGAGATCATTGAAGAGGAAGACTTCTCTCTGGTGCGCCGCCTGTTTCTGGGCCTTGTTGACATCAGTCACCTCAAACAGTCGACTGCAGCACACCAGTCTTCTGTGAGGGACAGAGAGAACCTGCAGAGAGAGGGACAGGCGTTTACAGCTTCACTCACTCTGAGAGGCTTTACAGTCATTGAAGAAGATATGAAGACATGCAGGCTGAAAGAGACACATTCCCCTCAGAGGAACTGGGTAGAGAGGGTTGAAGGGAAACAGGAAGACTTTAAATACAAACGACTTTTGGCCAAAGTACTGCACATTATTCACGGAGTTTAAAGCTGGGACTGAAGTGTCAGATACAAACTCATTAAGCACACTTAACTGAGAAATATTAATGACATTGAAAACTGACCTAGGAGTCTTAAAAACATGATTTGCAGAAACATAAGCGCTGTTTCAAGGTTATGCAAGATTGTGAAGAAAATGTGAATATATGCAGGTTGACTATTTCTGATCATTTTCTACATTTTTTGCATCTCACCCGTTTTATATTAACTAGCTAAGATGTGAGCAATCAAAAAGTATAATTTTAGAACATTAAATGTATAACTACAGTCTTTGTGATGCTTGCTTTAGCTTCTTCCAGTAACCCTAGAAGTCCTCTAAAGCAAGGTCAAGCTACATTTTCTTGTTTTTGTTGAGTTATTGGCTCTACATGTAAGGCTGAATCAGATTATAGAAGGTGGAGGTCTATTGAAACAGCAGATTACACTAAAAAAATGGCGGAGACTGATCTAATCATGTCCTCGCCTCTTACACGCTCCGTCTCTGTGTTGGATCACTGCAGGAATCCAAACAGCGGCTGCGTGACTGTCAGTCGGTGTGGAGTAGATCCCCTCTTCATGATAAAAAAAAACTATCCTCAGCCTCTGTTCAGCTCTCTCTCTGTGCATTTTAAATCTTTATTCTCTCTGATCCCTGTGGACTATTTACAGTGCAGTGAGTACACACACAGCCTCTCTTATCTCTCATATCTGCAGGGTCTACACACTCACAGCCAGCCTGGTTTCTCATTACCCTAATGTCAGAAACATGTAGAGACATCATTAGCTGGAAATGCCTCTTGCATGTAGAGTGAACACGGTCTTGTTCTAATGGGATTATTTGGAAACGGTGAGACAGGACAGAGTTTACTCATACGATTAACAATTAATGAATGACTACATAGAAATTAGTTCTACAATTGTTAATCGTTGCAAATAATTTCCCAACGATTAACAATTTAAAATGTACACCAAGCGGCAAAAAAACATCCTCATACAACTGATGTGATAGTATTTCTAAGGAAGAAGTGTTTTTATAACAGACAGCTCTGATGGACAGGAATAGTCCCTTCCAGTCACAACAATCCATCAATGTTTGGCTATGACACTCCCTCTGTAATCCTATGGCTATTCATCCATCACTGACATCATCTTAAAGGCTCATCTTATATTGTAAACTGGTACCTAAGGATCATAAATGAAGAGAGGTTGCAGACAATGGAATAAACTCAGTGTATTTTCAAAATGTTAATCATTTTCCATATTGGCTTTTGTATAGTGGATGTGACGTGGTCAATTCCCAGAGTGTATGGGAAACAAATCACCAACTTTTACCCTGGACCTATATGCCATGAATAACTGATTGAAATGGATTTGATAAGATTCAAAAAATAATTCCCTGAACTGTTTAATCATTAAAAAAAAGCCTTTCAGTGTTATCAGTTGGCGCACAGAGCACATTCCCACATGAATCAGAGTAAGCAGTCAATTATAAAGCTAAACATCCGTCTCAGATTTACTACGGCCCAAACACAAAAATCTCTATAAACATATTCACAGGATGAGTTCAAACAATAGTCATAAGCAGAGGTGGAAGAAGTACTCAGATATTTTACTGAGGTAAAAGTAGCAATACTACAGTGTAAGAATACGCAGTTAAAAGTAAAAGTCCTGCAAACAAAATCTTACTTAGAAGTACAAAAGTATTGGCATTAAAATATACTCAAAGGATATTTAATTACTGTATGTACTACTACGGCTATATTCACATATAACTATATATCATAGTTTATGTATGAGTTTTTATTAATATTTTTTATAATCTTATAATCCACATTTTTCGTGGAGAAAAAGTACAATATTGGCTAGAAGTTAGAAGTACAGTACTTGAGTACATGTACTTCATTACATTACACGACTTGCCACAAGTCAATAAGCTATTATAAACCAAATGAACTCCATCTGATAAGCACCAGATTGCAGAAAGACAAAGTTAGTGACTAGCTGAGGAACATAGCAGAGCATTTTGCAGCTTTGATAATGAATATTTTCAAAGTGAGTTCATATTGGACTTGCATTCATGGCAACCAACAAAACTCTGAATGATCATGTTGCTTTTTCCTGCTGGATGATGAATAGTCGACTGTTTGCCCAGACATTGAGAATGTGTCCTTACCGTTTTCATTCCCACGATGGACTGCTCCACCTTGGAGACGTAGGTGACGTGGTCTTCGTTGGAGCGTAACTCCCTCTGTTGTATTCTTTCATAGATTCCCACCACCATTTCTCTGGGGATATCTGCTCCGTCATCAACACCTATGATGGGAAGAGGCCGGTTACACACAACTATACACACATCTCAGGGTGGTTGCATCAGAAGGAATATGGACTGTGTCGTACCTGTACATATAAAAAGTTTTGCATTACACACTCATGTGCAATATATCCAATTTACGCTTTATTTTTCTGTAAACAGTACCAGCTACTCTTATAATTTTATATGGTCACTTAAATTGCTACTTTGTTTACCATGGTGTACTTAGCTGTTATTTGTTTTGACTTATTGTGATTTTGTATTAATAACTTCTAATATGTACGTGTATTCCTTTATTTGAACTATACTTCTGCTGTTGTAACACCGTAAATGTCCCCGTTGTGGGACAAATAAAGGAATTCTGATTCTGATTTGATCAATGGTAGAGGAGCCATATAGTGTTTACTCTTGCTTACATACAGCAGGGTTTGTGTCCCTGATACAAAAAGAGACAGCATGTTTATACATAACAGTAGATATATTTTACTGACAGACTTTTCACGCAAGATTTCTTTTGCCTCGTTATTTAACTCGCAGACAATGTAATAAATTCCTCAGTGCAAGTGAGAGCTCTCTGTTATCTTGTCTGTCAGTCTTTGGCTTTCTGTCTTTCACTGTCTTCATTAAATAATGACAGAAGGCAATGTGAGAGGAGGTTAATTGGCAAGGGAAAGGGTAACACCCATAGAAGATGTTCTGTCTGGAACACAGCGCTGGCATTTGGACACAGGTAGAGCTGCATGCCATCAGGCTGAAAGGTTGCCCCCCATTATACGCTCTCAGCTGTACCGTGCTGCGATTTCAATGGGGCAGGATGGGTTGGAGAAAATGAAGGAGCCCCAAGTGATGGCGATGACAGTGAGGCACCCTGGGACACCGCTGAGACATCGCTACACATTATGGAGTCAGGGGGAGTGGAGGACATGTCCTGGGGGAGATGTGTGTAAAGTGTCAGATAAATAAGTTACAATTTCTTTGCAGAGTGTCTCCCCTTTTAAAATGCTTTCATCACACTCCTTATCACTTCGCTGCCTTTTTCCAGTTGGTTGGGCATTCATGGTCCCCAGATTATAAACCCTACAACTAGTGACTTTGATTTAGATCTCTAGATGTACTAGATGTATATACACTCCCTAACAACAAGTTCTAGTATGCTTGGTGATTCCTTAAAGGGACAGACAACACCAACATTACAAATACATTTGTATCTATTAATCAACATTGATTGTTTATGTGTGAGTGTTATAGAACTAGATGACACTTGGGTGTTCAAAGCCCAGAAAATACATCAACAGGTCAAAAATGTAAATTGTTCATTTATTTGGATTTTGACATAGTTTTGAAAACAAATGAACTGTACTTTGTGTTTAGTGCAAATAAGCAAAATACTGTGTTACTAAACAGGTTAGCATGGTGCCAAAATTAGCATTAAGCTAAAAGCAGTATACTTCTCTTTCCCTGTCTACTTGTGTTTCTATCTGAACTCTCTGTGTAAATCCGAGCCCATCCTCTCAGTAAATGAGACATTAGAAATGCCATTGTTCTATGATTGATTCATGGTGGAAGCTGGTTTACATTATATTTCCCCATTTGGAAACAGCTTGGTCACTGGCATTCTGTTTTAATTGAGATAATGAATTTTCTGTGGTTCTTCATTACTATTGGTTTCTAGCGCATAATTGCATTTCACCTCAGTCAATTAGCTAATTGAGTTATTCTTCTGTCAGTGTGTATGAGAGGCGTGAGTGAACGAGGAGAGAGAAACAGACAGAATATAAACAAGGGAAGACAGATGAATAACAGAACAAATGTTATTCTGACGGAGAACCAAACACGATAAGAGAATGGAGGAAGAGACAGAGCAGAAGACAAATAGAGAAGCCGGGAGAGAGTGGCATATTTTTATTTGCATAAGATGCTGAAATCGATTTTCCAACTTAATTTAATTGTGGGGAACAGTCTGGATGAATCTATTAAAGTTGTTCTACATCGACCTCAGTGTTCCCTGAGTGATTGTGCAGAGGGAGAGCAGAGCTACAGAATGAGCATCTGTCTGCATGCGGGAGACAAGAATTACAGGTGCCTTCTGTCGTAGCGCTATGAGTTGTGAGTGCAATAAAATGTAACCTTATTTTTATTACCTGAACTTATGCAGGGCATTTTGATTGAATAAAGATCCAAACACTGTTGGACAATGATTAATTTTAAATGATTCATCTGTCTTTTTGGAGATTGAGTAGATATGATTTCTTACCATGTTGTTCCCGTAACTCTGCAGTCAGGCAATTCCATTGGCCATTGGTGGGCCATTTTTGGCATCTTGTGCCAGAGTAAATTGAAATTGAAATCCATATATTATAAATATGGGAACTTTCTTGGATCTTCCAATCTTCCTGCTTACTTCCTGTGACTCATTCCAGATTTTGGTGGTATGATATTGGCATTTTTATATCAACAACCCACTAGCTAGAAAAAAATAAACCCTATTTGTCCATCATTTATAAACCACCGTACCTTTAGTTTAGTCAGTATGAGCACTATTGCACAAAACTGTTACGGTTTTGTATTTATGTTTTCATTTTCCACCTTTTGTTTTGAAATGTTTTCCTCCTTGTGTCTTCTCTGTTCCTTCTTCCTGTGTTTGCCTTCCTGTCATTAGTTCCCCTGGTGTGTCTGAGTGTCTGATTGTGTTCACCTGTTGCCCTTGTGTTTCTGCCTCTCTTACCCCAGCTGTGTCTTGTCTTGTGATTACCCCTCCCTGTATTTAGTCTTGTCTCTTCCTGTGTTCCCCTGTCGGTTCATTGTTGGTTTTTCCTGTCTTCCTCCATGTCAGTCACGGTTGTCTCTCCTGTCTCCCTCCATGTGGGTCACGGTCAGTTTTTTGTACAACCCATTTGTTTCATGCCTTGTTTTGATCAGCTTTTAAAATAAAGCTCGCTTTTTGTTACGAGACCTGTTACCTTTTTGATAGTCTGCATTTGGGTCCTACCCTTCCACGCCATCCTAACAGAATGAACCGACCAGCTTTGGACTCAGCAGACTCGGATCGTTTTGCTCTACAGGCAGAATGTCTTGGGTACTCTCTGGAGTACATTTTTTATACTTGGAATGGCGCCTCTTCTAGACGTGGTAGAGAGGCTGCGTTGAAGGAGGCACGTCAGGAGGTTGCTCGCCAGCCCTGGCTTAGGAGCATGTTGCCTGAGTGGCTACAACTTTTCACAAGTAGTCCTGAGGACTTGTCCGAAGCCTCTAACCCTTTCCTGGGGTATGACCAGGCCTGGGGAGGCCAACAGATCCTCCAAAGAATCTCTAGGAGACGCAAGACCAAGATTCCAGCCCGTGCTCCAGTGGTTCCAGCTCCATTCTCTGGCCCTTTTTTGGGATCCCGCCTGGCGTTTGGAGGTCCACGGAGCCTCCAGGGGGCCTCGGAGAAACGCAAGGTCGGGAGGCCGGCTCGTGGTCCAGTACCGGCCCACACAGCCATGGATCCGTGCACCAGTACCGGCCCACACAGCCATGCTTCCGTGCTCCATTACCTGGCTCACACAGCCAGGGTCCAGGCTTCTGTTCCGTGCCCAGCAGCCATAGTCACTGCTCCAGAACCGGACCTTACAGTCATGTTTCCGTGTTCCAGTGCCGGTCCACACAGTCATGGTACCGTGCTCCAGTACCATCCCACACAGCCATGGTTCCGTGTTCCGGTTCCGTGCCCAGCAGCCATGGTGCCTGCTCTAGTACCGGCCCACACAGCCATGGTGCCGGCTCCAGAACCGGCCCATACAGCCATGGTTCCAGCCCCAGTTCTGGCCCCAGCAGCCATGGTTCCGGCCCCAGTTCTGGCCCCAGCGGCCATGGTTCCGGCCCCAGCAGCCATGGTTCCGGCCCCTGTTCCGGTCCCAGCAGCCATGGTCCCGACTTCAGTTTCGGCTCCAGTACTGGCTCCCCGGCCGACGCCAGCCCCCCGTGTCCTGTCGGTGGTCCGGCCGACTCCAGCACCTCGTGTCCTGTCGGTGGTCCGGCCGACTCCAGCACCTCGTGTCCTGTCGGTGGTCCGGCCGACTCCAGCACCTCGTGTCCTGTCGGTGGTCCGGCCGACTCCAGCGCCTCGTGTCCTGTCGGTGATCCGGCCGACTCCAGCACCTCGTGTCCTGTCGGTGGTCCGGCCGACTCCAGCACCTCGTGTCCTGTCGGTGGTCCGGCCGACTCCAGCACCTCGTGTCCTGTCGGTGGTCCGGCCGACTCCGGCCCCCCGTGTTTTGTCAGTGGTTCGGCCCACTCCAGCCCCTCGTGTTCTGTCGGTGGTCCGGCCGACTCCAGCACCCCGTGTCCTGTTGGCTCTATGGCCGACGCCTACCCCATGTCCTGTGATGTTGGAGGTCCCGCCGACTACTCTTCTGCCGGGGGTCCTGCCAACCCTATGTCCTGTGCTGTTGGAGGTCCCGCCGACTACTCTCCTGCCGGGGGTCTTGCCAACTCCATGTCCTGTCCCATTGGGGGTCCCGCCGACTACTCTTCTGCCGGGGGTCTTGCCAATCCTATGTCCTGTCCCGTTGGGGGTCCCGCCGACTACTCTTCTGCCGGGGGTCCTGCCAACCCTATGTCCTGTGCCGTTGGAGGTCCCGCCGACTACTCTTCTGCCGGGGGTCCTGCCAACCCTATGTCCTGTGCTGTTGGAGGTCCCACCGACTACTCTCCTGCCGGGAGTCTTGCCAACTCCATGTCCTGTCCCATTGGGGGTCCCGCCGACTACTCTTCTGCCGGGGGTCTTGCCAATCCTATGTCCTGTCCCGTTGGGGGTCCCGCCGACTACTCTTCTGCCGGGGGTCCTGCCAACCCTATGTCCTGTGCCGTTGGAGGTCCCGCCGACTACTCTTCTGCCGGGGGTCCTGCCAACCCTATGTCCTGTGCCGTTGGAGGTCCCGCCGACTACTCTTCTGCCGGGGGTCTTGCCAATCCTATGTCTTGTCCCGTTGGGGGTCCCGCCGACTACTCTTCTGCTGGGGGTCCTGCCAACCCTATGTCCTGTGCTGTTGGAGGTCCCACCGACTACTCTCCTGCCGGGAGTCTTGCCAACTCCATGTCCTGTCCCATTGGGGGTCCCGCCGACTACTCTTCTGCCGGGGGTCTTGCCAACCCTGTGTCATGTGCCGTTGGGGGTTCAGCTGTGGGTCCTGCCAACCCCATGTCCTGTCCCGTTGGGGGTCCCGCCGACTACTGCTCCGCCAGGTTTCCTGCCAACACCAGATCCTGTCCTGTTGGGGGTCCCGCCGACACCTGCTCCACCAGATTTCCTGCCTACACCATGTCCTGTCCTGTTGGGGGTCCCGCCGACACCTGTCCCGCCGGGGGTCCTGCCAGCTCTGTGTCCTGTCCTGTTGGAGGTCCCGCCGACACCTGTTCCACCGGGGGTCCTGCCAACTCTGTGTCCTGTTCCGTTGGAGGTCCAGTCGACACCAGCCCTTGCTCCATCCGGGGTCCCATTGACACCAGTCCATGTCATGTCCAGGATCCCGTCTACGCCTGTTCCGTCGGCTCCGGTTCCTGTCTGGCCGACAACGGGTCCTGCCCGGCCTCCGGAGCTGTCCCGTCAGCGCCTTCCTGCCCGTCCTCCGGAGTTGTCCCGTCAGCACCTTCCTGCCCGGCCTCCGGAGCTGTCCCGTCGACGCCTTCTTGTTCGCCCTCGAGCCCGGCCCCCTGAGTGCCGGGGCCTTCGCCCTCGAGCTCGGCCCCCTGATTTCCCCAGCCGTGGCCTTCGCCCTCGAGCCCGGCCTCCTGACGCTTTCAGCCGCTGCCTTTGCTCTCATGCCCGGCCCCCTGAGTTCGCCCGCTGTGGTCTTCGCCCTTTTTTTAACTCTGCCTTGCCCCCGGGCCGTCCGCCCGAGACCCCCTCCTTGATCTCTGCCTTGCCCCCGGGCCGTCCGCCCGAGACCCCTTCCGGGTCCTCCGCTGTGCCCCTGGGCTGTCAGCCCAAACCCGTCCTCCAGACCCCCTCCACCCACCCTGCTGGAATTTTTTGGACTTTTGGGAGTTTTCTTGGGACGTCTGGAATCCGTCCCTTGAGGGGGGGGTTCTGTTACGGTTTTGTATTTATGTTTTCATTTTCCACCTTTTGTTTTGAAATGTTTTCCTCCTTGTGTCTTCTCTGTTCCTTCTTCCTGTGTTTGCCTTCCTGTCATTAGTTCCCCTGGTGTGTCTGAGTGTCTGATTGTGTTCACCTGTTGCCCTTGTGTTTCTGCCTCTCTTACCCCAGCTGTGTCTTGTCTTGTGATTACCCCTCCCTGTATTTAGTCTTGTCTCTTCCTGTGTTCCCCTGTCGGTTCATTGTTGGTTTTTCCTGTCTTCCTCCATGTCAGTCACGGTTGTCTCTCCTGTCTCCCTCCATGTGGGTCACGGTCAGTTTTTTGTACAACCCATTTGTTTCATGCCTTGTTTTGATCAGCTTTTAAAATAAAGCTCGCTTTTTGTTACGAGACCTGTTACCTTTTTGATAGTCTGCATTTGGGTCCTACCCTTCCACGCCATCCTAACAAAAACTAGGCCACTAGAACAAGACCTCTGCTAAAAATCAGCATGTTAGCTTTCCCACAGTTAGCATCTTAGCATGGCTGTAGACTTCCTTATGGTTACTGTCTGTCCTGTTACTGATCCTGGTTAATTACATGATTTTCCTCCTACGTATAGAGGAGTTTCAATGTCAGGGTTGGCTAATGAATACCAATATTAAAACTGGCAAGTCAGTGAGAAATATGTTTTTCATCCAGCCACAGATTATAGGCCTGATCCTTGTTTAGCTCCAAAGCATCCAGCTTATAATTCTCAAATGACACTGAATTACCTAAAAACTAACCTACATCACTTGAGCTGATTATGTCCACTAATTAATGACTCCTAATTCCCTTGAATGTGCCTCTACACAAAACTGCTGAGTCGCTCACCTCGTAGGTTGCGTATGAAGTCCTCCAGCATCATCTTGCGGTCGGGCTTGATGTTTGGACTGTACATGTCCGTGTTGAGCAGGATGATGGCGAAGGCCAGGATGAAGATGGTGTCCGGGTTGTGAAACTGCTGCACCACGTCGGGGTTACACATGCAGTAGCGCTGACTGTTGGTGGAAAGAAAGAGGAGCATTTAATAACAGAGGACACAAACATGGAGGAAGGACAGAGAGAAACAGGAAGATAGGGTGTTGAAAATAATCAGTGAGGCCAGTTAGAAAAACTAAATAGGATTTAAAAAGACAGGAGAAGAGACAGATAATACGTTATTCCAGACACTGAAGGCAACCTTCAACACACTACAAATACATGTAATCTAGTACAATTCTGAAGTACTTGTACTTTACTTCAGTACTTCCATTTGAGGTAACTTTGTACTTCTACCCCAGTACAATTCAGACGTAAATCGTGTACTTTTACATCACTACAGTAACCTTTAGTTACTTTGCAGATATGGATTAATGATAAGAAATACGATCAATAAATGCACATGCTACCCATCAGTAGATAAAATAATTTAAATGAGTTCCTTTAGAAGCTTGATAAACACATTAATACATACATATCTATAATGACAACATATAATATATATGATTCTGAAATCGGCTGATCTGCATAGCGAGTATTTTTACTTTTGAGTATATTTACATGCCAATACTTTTGTTCTTTTACCTGAGTAACATTTTGAATGCAGGACTTTTACTTTTTTACTTGACGTTTTAATTTTGCTTGCGGTTTATCTGAAGCTGGCTCTTAGAGCAGAGAAACACTGAGAGGTTCATTGTTGCTAACATTGTCACTCTGTATAAACACATTTGTCCCAGGGGATCGGATGCTAACACGGACTGTGCACAACCCAAGATAACATCAAACACAAGACTTATTCACAGTCTTGGTTTTCCACTGAGCCATATTTAAACGTTCTCCAAAATGTATGGGCCTGCTTGCTGGATTTATGCAGGTTGTAGAGAAGACAGATGAAGTTTGAAATATGAAATCCCCTTACCTAGGCCTTTTCTGCAAAAATAATGTGACAGAGGCCAGGCTCGGTTAGATGTAGTTCCAGAAAAACACCACTCAATATAAGTGGGTGGGTGGAGAATGGAAATGCCTCTGCCTCGTGTGAAAACCATGAATCTAACAGATTTGTAGACACCTACTCTGGGTGTTAGCATATGTGTGTGTGTGTGTGCGTGTGTTTAAAAAAAGAAGAGCCCACAGGAGTGAGATACATTGTTTCTCTGTGAAGTGCATGGACCCTTTGGTGAGAGCATGAATAATACAATAGTACAACACCTACCGGGTGTGAGTAATCAGAGACAGCACTATACAGGAGAATGAACAGGTGTGTGTGTGTGTGTGTGTGTGTGTGTGTGTGTGTGTGTGTGTGTGTGTGTGTGTGTGTGTGTGTGTGTGTGTGTGTGTGTGTACCCTGTGGGCATGGTGTATACTATAATCGTTATCTTAATCAGTCATCATTTCCATTGCATACATTAAGTTCATACCGTTGCACACACACACTTTATAATGTATTTTACAGCACTGCTCAAGCTTGGCAAAGGGATACAAAAAACAATGCTTGTGTTTGTGCACATGTGCCGGTTTTATATACGTCTCAATAAGTGGGTGATTTCCAATTTCTCTCCTCACTTTTTATAGCTCGAGGTTGATTAGATCACTTTACTTTTTACAATGCACTCAAAGCATTTAAGCTTTACAAGCAGTAGAAGAGAATGATTTGATTTGTAGGTACTTTTTGTCCCCGCTATGCGTCTAAGGCAACAATTGTGAGGAAGAACAGACACGACTCAGGACTGAGAAGAGCCCATCAACTACTCTGCCATTTCTGGTAATAAAAAAGGAGGAACAAATCATTTAACTTGTTTAATTTACAGAAAATTCACTTAAAAAATAACTGATTATCACAGTAAGAGATGTCCGTTAAAGAGAGTGCTCAATGTAGCAAAAATAAAACACAGTTTATTGAGTTTAAAGTTATGTTTTGTTATTAAAAAAACATAAATACAGGTCTGCACACTGTAGCTTTCCTAAGAGAAATGGGTAACACTTTATATTAAGGTACACAAATTAACCATCAACTAGTAGTTAATTAACATGCATATTAGCAGTATATTGGCTCTTTATTAGTCATTATAAAACACTTATTAATGCCTTATTCTACATGACCATATTTTACAAGTAATAAGCCATTAGTTGAGTCTTTCCTCAATAACCCTCTAATTAGTGCTTATTTATTGCAAGTAAGGAAGTTGTTGTACATGAGTTTTGGTCTTAATATGCGCTGCTCAATATGGGCTTAATAAGGCAGTAGTACCACAAGAAGAGTAATTCTCCCATAATAACACTTAACAAATATGATCTATTCTTATGTAACAAGACATGAAACTATAAGTGTTAATTGTGTCTAAATAACTCAAAATTAGGTATTTATATAAGAATATGTTTTGGGGTATTGACAGTTCTTGTGATATTGACCTGTATGTTTCATATTTGCACATTTATATTTTTGTAAAATTTGTACTGAAGGTTAGACAGGAAACCGGGTACAGGAAGTAGGAGAAAGTGAACTGAATAGCATAGCAGTACACATCCATGAGTAGACTGCTACTAATTTTCCCTATGCAACCTGAAGAGTAAAAGGGTCAAGTCCGTCAGAAAGCAATGACTGTAAGTGTAAGTGTAAGCCTTACACTTACACTGTACGGATTAATAACATGTATTGTGTTTATGTGATGACATTTGGAGATGTTTAAACACAATGAGAAAATCTGTTTGCGTTAGCATTCGCGCTAGCGTTAGCATATTACACGGTAGCGTTAGCATACATGCTAGCGTTAGCCATACTAGCCTGTATACATGCTTAATTCATACCTGCCAACCCTACCGATTTGGGCGGTAGTCTACCGCTTTTGACATGTTTCTACCGCCTACCGATTTAGCTGGCTTTCCCTACCGAATTTCAATTTTCCCATATTATAACAAATACAAATGTCCCTTGGCGCTCCATAGACACTGGACTCGACTTTTAGCGGAAACCGTTTGCAACATGTCTGTGATCGCATCATACAAACAGTCCTCTGTGTTTCTGAAAGTGAAACAACGTGCAGAGGAAGGGCAGCGTTCAGACCCGGCGTCATGGGCGGGCCCCATGGGGCCAGGCCCGCCCATCCAGGATTTGGGCCCGCTGTTTTAATCAGGGCTGAATACAACATTTTAATTGTTTTATTATTATGTTTGTTGTTGTTATTTGTAGAGCTTTGTCCTAATATTTATTTTTGTATTAAACTATGTTGAAAGATTAGTTTAATATCATTTTTTAATTTTGCTAGGAAATTCTGAATGAAATTCTGAATGAAAGGCTGCACGCGAGACTGGTTTTTCGCTGGATTGAGTCGTGTGTGGGTTTTTGAGTGAGATGCGGCACAGCAGCCTGTCAGTTTACTCTTGCTAGGTTAGTTTGGCTATTATCATTTATATTTATCTGCAAGAATGGATATCAGGAAGTGGTTCACGAACAAAAAGAGCTCACCAAAGGAATATGGCAACTCAGCGCCAGATGCAGGCACATTAGAAGAAAATCAGTTACGTTACCAAAACAAGAGCTAGCAAGCCAGCCAGGGACACAAGGGAGCTGGCAATCATTAATTTTGAAGATAAATTGACTCTCAAGCCGGCTCTTCACAAACTCTGCTCGTGCGCAAGCAGACAGGCAACACGCCTCTCCCCTTGCTCGATATGAGCACTTAAGAAGGAGAGAAAGAGCGAGAGCAGAGCAGAGAGAGAGAGATGACGAGAGAAAGCAGAGCAGGCAGAGAGCGAGATATATATAGTGAGAGCTATACTATCCTCTCGATCAGAGAGCTCTCATCTCTATCTAGTCTCTATCTATATCTCTTAGCATCTATGATCTCCTGCTCTCCTCTCTCTATCTCTCTCTCTCTCTCTCTCTCTCTTCTCTTCCTCTCTCCTCGCTCACCTCCTCCACCTCTCAGTTTGCACAGCGTTACAAATGTGCCACAAAACCAACCAATGGAAGTATAATAAGACCGTCAACAGCGTTATGGCAACCTGAAACCCCTCTCTCTCCGTAACAACAATTCACGAGCGCCTCCCCCCGTTGACAATTCAGATTTCCCGGGAAATGTAAGTCGGGGTAGGCCCGCCCTGGTAAATCAAATGCCCGCCCAGAGATGTATGTCTGCCGCCGGGTCTGCCAGCGTTACCCCCGGGGCTGATTGGTAATCACTCCAAAATGAGTTTAAGGGAACAGAGACGAGGCATTTGGTCGTTTGGTCTTTTCCTGAAGCATCCTTCACCTGCGTGTCGCAACTGAAAGAGGACCACAAACACAAAAAATATAATAAAATGTGGAGATTTTGGGATATTTATCTCCCATTCTTTTACTTTTTGGACATTTTACAGACCAAACATGTACTTAATGTCTCCGTTTAGCAAACTACCACTTTTTGTGAAAAATGCATACAATTATGCAATATATGTTAAATACATGGTTTATACATGTAATTACTGGGGTTCCATTTCTTCTGATTACCTAATTTGGGCGTGCACATTTGCCGCGTGCAAACCTTCCTCTTTTGGATTTGGAAAGGTTGGCATGTATGGCTTATTGCACAGCTAGCATTAGCTATATTTACCTTGTGTACACTTAGCGGTCCTATGTTTTAATCTGTGTATGTTACATTTGCATGTATGAGATCATTAAGTGCCTTGTAACTTCTTTTTTTATAGTTTCACTCCATTTTGAATGTCAGTGGACTGCAAATAAGTCAATAAAGGAGCATGGCTGCTCATTCCCTGGCTCTCAAAAGAGTTTGGCTGGCTGTTTAATCTATGTTCACACTGAGACAGTACAACACAGAGAGAACAGTACACCTATTGTGTAAGTACATACAAGCAGGTCACACAGTATGATCACAAATCAGTTTTTATTAAAAAGTACAGGCTGCATATGTGTTCTCAGCCTTGGAGAAACTTGACATGTTTTGGTATGTGTCTGAACCTCTCTTAAGTGGTTCATTAATAAAACTGATATTTCAAAGTGTGCCTACTTTGTTAATGTGTTGAG